CAAAACCACACTCAGATATCACCTCACGCCAGTCAGAGTGGCCAAAATGAACAAATCAGGAGACTATAGATGCTGGAGAGGATGTGGAGAAACGGGAACCCTCTTGCACTGTTGGTGGGAATTCAAATTGGTGCAGCTGCTCTGGAAAGCAGTGTGGAGGTTCCTCAGAAAATTAAAAATAGACCTACCCTATGACCCAGCAATAGCACTGCTAGGAATTTATCCAAGGGACACAGGAGTACTGATGCATAGGGGCACTTGGACCCCAATGTTCATAGCAGCACTCTCAACAATAGCCAAATTATGGAAAGAGTCTAAATGTCCATCAACTGATGAATGGATAAAGAAATTGTGGTTTATATACACTATGGAATACTACGTGGCAATGAGAAAAAATGAAATATGGCCTTTTGTAGCAACGTGGATGGAACTGGAGAGTGTGATGCTAAGTGAAATAAGCCATACAGAGAAAGACAGATACCATATGGTTTCACTCTTATGTGGATCCTGAGAAACTTAACAGGAACCCATGGGGGAGGGGAAGGAAAAAAAAAAGAGGTTAGAGTGGGAGAGAGCCAAAGCATAAGAGACTGTTGAGAACTGAGAGCAAACTGAGGGTTGATGGGGGGTGGGAGGGAGGAGAGGGTGGGTGATGGGTATTGAGGAGGGCACCTTTTGGGATGAGCACTGGGTGTTGTATGGAAACCAATTTGACAATAAATTTCATAAAAAAAAATTACATTATATTTCTCATTAGGTACAACTTTATTTAAAGATATTTAAAGATAAAATATTAAAGATATTTAATATTTAAAAAAAATAAAAAAAAATAAAAATATAAAAACAGCTAGTGACCCAGATTTGGCCCACTGGCCATAGTTTGCCAACTCTTGCTTTTCTTGATGAAGAAAAATGTTATAGTGAGTACAGCAGGTTAAGAGAGCTATTTTTCTCCCTACCCAAAGTTGTAAATCACAAGACTAGATCGTGGAGGGAGAACCTTCTGATTCTAAAGTATGAGTGTTGCTAAAATCCTGGTATTGAGAAAATTGAGGAAAAATGACCAGAAGAATATATGTCTATGCTTTTACCTTCAGAAAAAAACTTACATTGAGTTTTTATGTCCTGAAAACATGCCTATTTTTATACATATTTACAGTTTCACCTCTAAACAGCCTTCCCTAATGACTCCCTACCACCATCCAGACAAAGTTAGTTAAAGAAATGCTCAGGAGCTCACAGGAATGGAAGTTGTAATTTAGGATGCATCAAAACTTTTTTTCAGGTAATCGAAAAATTTGGGGGTTGAGGAAATCTTTAACTGTATAAGTTCAGAGCTAAACTGTTGTCCTCAAATGGGAATGAGCCCTTGAAAGGTATGATAAATTAAGTGGAAATCTTAGTACATATTAATGATATCGGGCCTGTTAATAAGAGAATATGTGCTTGGACAAATCCAGTTTAAGTGTATATATATAGCTTCCTAGCAAGTACCTAATAAGTCATACTCAAGGTTCTCATAGAGTACTGACCCCTCAGCCTTTCTATGACCACCAAAACACAGCATCAGAAAGACTCTGAGACATTCTTAGCAATGACACAAATGGAAAGAAGCTAGAATTTGGTCAGCCTCCTACCTGCAGATGGCCATTAGTCTGTTTAGTTCCTCCGTCAGTCTTTCTTAGAAAATCTCTGACCCATGACCTTTGAACTACTTTTCTTTCCGTCATAGCTATAATGGGTCTGTGACCTCAGATAGTTTATTTCCGTTTTCCGAGTTCAGACTTGCACGTTTAAAACATCAAGGCTTTGTATTAGATGCTCTTGTAGTCTCTGTTCTTTATCAAATGACATCTGTCAGAGTAAAATCAAGAGCAAGAGCTAGTGAATGAATTTGCTGATAAGCTGTTCTCTGAGATATTTCTTGTGAACGCTGTATATAAGTAAATCTATTGGATGAAGTTGTTTTCAGAAGTGGATTTCAAGTGAATTTTGTTTTATCATCTGATCAAATGGGTTTGGCTAGAGCTTGTTTTATGGTGATATATAGCTTAGGTAACTAAAAGTGTTGAAGGAATCTGCCTTGTTGGGCAGAAAAAGTCTATAACGATCTCAGGGTGGTATGGACTCCTTTGTGGAAGTTCCCTGTCAAACCACAGGGAACACTGGATAGTTTTTATTCCTACTTCCCTTTGAAGATTGATTTCCACACTGGGAACCAAACTTAATACTCGAATATTGGCATCGCTGTTCTGTGTCTCCCCTGAGACCACTGGCATTTGCCAAGCTAGTGGCTCTATTAATAGAGCCTGAGTAGTTGAGCTGTGTATTTAAAGAGCTGTGTATTTAAAGAAAGGGGGTCCCATACCCCAAATCAGAACCATTTTTCACACCTTCCTTGCTGACCACTCTGTGGACCACTCCAAATATGCACTTCTGGTATCCAGCCTCTGTAGAGAAGCCTGTGTAACTCAGGGCTTGTAGCCAAATAGCTCAGTGTGGGAGAGCCTCCCTTTTGCAGATGCCCAGGGTAGAATAGTTCTTGTGAATGAAGTCTCCACAGACTTTGACGACTTAAAAAAAAACAACACCACCAAAAAACCCCCCAGAAGATGGGATGGCAGGTGTTTCCCTCCTGCTCCTGTGTTGTTGGCCACTACTAGATAGATCCCCAGCCCCATCTGGGGGATGTTATAAAGAGGCTTGCAGCTCTGACTTCATTTGGGAGATGTTTCTGTTCCTTGCCCTTCTGTGGGGAGCTTATTCCTGCAAAAAGTTACAGTGTGGTACTTAAGAACACTATCTCTAGAGCCATAGTTGGGTAAGTTTGTTAACCTCTCTGTATCTATTTCACAGGGTTTCTTAGAATTAAATTGTAAAGGTATTTAAAATTCTTAGAATGATTTCTGACAAGTAGAAAATACTTTATGATGATGCTGGGCATAATTATGATTGAGGGCAGATATGGGGGAAAGTTAGAAGTGGTTAGCATCCTAGTAGCAGATGACTTCAGAATATCAAATGGTCAGTTCCTCTGGTTCACTCTCTTAGACACCTTGAACTTTAGAATTGTTTCCTCCCATCATAGCCACACAGGATCTTTGGATACACATTTGGCATCCAATTCCCTTATCCCTATCATGTAGTCTTTAGGAGATCTGTGTTTTCCTCCTGTCATGAATGTAACCTGGACTTTTAGCATGTTTGTTGTGCACACAACCCTTAATTCACTTCCATGACATCGAGTACATAGTGGTTGATTGGTATTCTGCTAATACTGCCAGTACTTCCACATTTGGCCATGCAAGTCCTGTACTGCACAACTCCAGGGAACCCCTGCCTACTATAGTACTAAACACTACTTGGTACATGGTCAAACTTAAGGCATATTCCTAACTCAAGTCAACCAGAAGGACATGGTACATGTCCTATGAGACAGGCATCTCTTAAATAGGAGTGCTTCTTGAGGTAATTTTATCCCATGATAACCCCACAAGAAAAGTGTTTTCCTCTGTTAATCACAATAATAGGAAACTCCTTACACACACAACAATATGACTGCCATAGAATAGGAAATTATTAAGTATTGAAAAACCAAACTGAAAGATAAAATCTTCTGATGGTTTATGGTTTGGTTTCTGATTATGAAAGATACTTAACCCATCCATAAAAGGCTGATTTTATATGCAGTTGTATAGTATGTTACTCAAAAATTTCTTGGAATTGACAGAGGAGCTCTTGAACTCCAGTTAAAACATAACAGTAAAATCCCCATGGGCTTAATTGATATCTGCAATTCTACCATCAAAAATTTCTTTCACTCCTATCTATATCATTTATCCCACACACGTACCTTGGATAGGAGGATGCATTTGTTTTTGTCAGTAATGTACCCTGTAGAGTGAGTGAGTGGACCACCCATGTTGATAAGGAAAGCATTTTATTGGGAAACGTGGAGTGGATCCACACAGACTCTTCATGTAGGGAGGAGGGCCCAACAGAGAGAGGACATGCTGACCTGCTGAATGCAAATGCTGACCATTCAAAATTTTGCAGATAGAGACTGTAGGATTGGGATTTTTATTTGGAATGAAACAAAAATTCAAGGATTGATTAGAAGTGTTTGCTCAAAAGTTTTATATACTTAGGATATCCTCAGAAGTTAAATAAAAATGTTCTATCTCGTACTTGAATAAACAGAGTTGATACTGCATTTTTCTTTCTTTCAGCCCCCAAACCTGTCACCATGCCTGGCCTACTGTAGACATCCTGTAAATGCCTCTGGAACAAAATATGATTCGTGATCTCCACCTTTTCTTTTTCTTTCTTTTTCTTTCTTTTTTTTTTTTTTTTTACCTTTGTAACTTTTATTTACATTTATTTTATGCTGAATTGATTATTGGGCCATATGTGTTTGTTTCTTTAGTTTTTTTCCCTGAGCTGTGTGTGTGTGTGTGTGTGTGTGTGTGTGTGTGTGTGTGTACGCACACCTGTGCACATGCAACGTCCTCTTCTGGTTTAGGAATAGTTTGCTCTTTTTAGTAAGAGTTATCTCACTGCAGCAGAGTGAGCTCATGTAGGGGTTAATCTGACTATGAGCTCTATAAAGTGAATATAAAGATTTTAACCTCTTGATTTGCATGATTTTTGGGGGGTTTCTGGGTCAAGTTAAGAGTAGACCATTTTCAGAGATTACCTCAGGCCACTTAGGGGAAGAGGAAGCCATCTCCACCTTATTTTGCCAGAAGATAGTGAAGTATATTTTGAAACAAATTTTAGGAAATTCCAGGTTCCTCTTTGAATAAACAGGGTTTCCACATCTTGATGGAGCTGAGCTGAGTGCAAAGCCATTCTTCCTACTGGAGCGTCTCCAGCCCCTCACTGTCCACTGCAGGACTGGTTCTGTTGCTGCACCAGTGGTTGTAGATCTACTCAAGCAAGAGCTAAGGTGCTAAAGTGAATAATTCTTGTGACTTAGAATATTTATTTTCTTATTTCAGAAAGTGGATGTCACCAGCAGGGCTGTGATGGAAATAATGACTAAAACAATTGAATACCTTCAACCCAATCCAGGTAAGGGACCACTTTATATATTCAGGGTATCCCTCCAGGTAACTTGTAGTTTCTCTTTAATAGACATTTAAGTTTGGTGTGCTTCTACTTTCTCAGCCCACCTTTCTGGAGGGCTTGGTATATGGCACTTTGAGGAGGGAGGACTTTTTAAGGCTCACACTGAGGTAACTGAAGGAGTCTGTCATATTTTATCTGACTCTAGGATATTTAGCAAATGGTATAGCATGGACAGCTTGGAAGCCACATCATGTCAGGGTAGCCACAAGCTGTTAGTAACCAAACTTAAATTTGCAAGGGACGGTAAGAAAAAACGGGATAATTTTAAGATATGATACAGCTATTCCTATAAGGTGTGAAAGAGTAAAAAATTTTTGTGAAATACAGAGGGTTTCTTTCATACAGCATCACTAAAGTTTTTGGAGGGTTGTTCCTAATTCCAGTTCTTCTCCCAGTACATTGCAGGTCAGCATTTGTTTCTGCCAACTTGTTACACTCTCAGAGAAGGAAGTTTTAATAGAGATAATGGATCTACCCCTTGAAAAGAGAACCAGGCAGAACTGGGCAGTGTCTATAGGCACAAGGTATAACAAAGCAAAACAGCCACTGTCATCAACCTCCTCACTACTCTTCCTGACATCAGTTCCTAACTTAGAACTGATAGAAGCTTGAAGCAAGGCTGGATGTATTTATGTGAAAAGTATGAATATTTAGAAAACTGCTGCTTTCTTTTGGGACTAGTTTCTTTGGGAGTTTCAGGCTGGGAGACCAGTGTATTTGGTGGTCCTAGGGAAGATGGTCTAGATACTGTGTCAGCCCTAGTGTGTTTGGATACAGAGCATTGGTGGGCAAGAGATGAAAAAAGGAGGTGTGGGGTAAGAGTGGGCAAGTGCAATAGTAAGTGCTGACCATCTCTACTGCCTCCTGCTGCTGACTGAGCTCTCATTCAACCTTTATTTACCTGTGACAGCACAGCTGCTGTTTCAAAAGATGAACACATTCTTGATTTTTTTTTCTTCTTAAAATACATCAGAGATGGGAATATATACGGAAGGAAAATACAGAAGGAAATACAGTATCCTGTAGGGTCGAGGAATTTAACTGATTGCGAACCAAATGGTTAGCAAATAAGGCAAAGAATAGCAAAAAATGAAGTTTCTAAGTTTTACCAAAGCCTTCTTTATGACCATTATATTGTGCAGAGATGCAAGGATCTCTCAGATATTCATTTATGCCAGAGTATTCCTGTCACAACCGTGACAGGTCAGGATCTGAAGAGAGCTAGCTGCTCCACCTGCCTCACCATAAGGTATCAGTGCATAAGGGCAAGAAGTTTGAGTCTTCATCTTGGCACAGAACTTTTGAAGTACTCTCTGATCTCCTGGGATTTACACATGACTTGTGCTGGTAACTCAGTGTGGGGCTAAGATAATGATAGGGTAAGGGAGGGAGAATATACTGTTCATTGCGCATTAATGCATTTGTAAGACAGTGCTAATTATTTACAGTGTCAACTCTACAAGTAACCATTTTTTTTTCTGATTGTAAAAATAAAGCACAGGTGAACAATTCATAGTTATGGAAAAGAGACTAAAAATCCATTGTAACATAAATCTGTAGTGTAAGCCCATCAGTGTTCCTGAGTATAATGGAACTCTGTTGTAGGTGGGTACAGTGTGTTGAATGGTATGCCCCCTCAAAATTCAAGGCCACCCAGAATCTCAGAATATAAGCCTGTTCGAAAATAGGGTCTTTTCATATGTTACTTAGTGATCTTGAGGTGAACTCATTCTGGAGTCAGAGTGGGCCCTACATAAAATGACTCGTGTCTTTATAAGAAAACACAGAGACATGGGAAAGAAAGCCAGTATGGAGACCAAGATTGGAGTGGTGTGGCCACAAACCAAGGAATTCCAGGAGCTACCAGAAGGTGGAAGAGGCAAGGAAAGGATTCTCCCAGAGAGCCTGGGAGGTGTCCCGCAGACACCTTGATTTCAGGCTTCTGGCCTCTTGAACCGTGAGAGAGTCAATTCAGTGTGTTGACTCACACAGTGTGTGGCAAGTTGTTATGCTAGCATAATAGAAAACTAATACAGTAGGCTAGCCTTATTTTCTGCAGGAAAAAACAAGGGCCCAAGAATTTAAGAAACTTTACCAAAGTCCCACACTTAGAAGAGGATGGAGGCAGAATTGGAACCCAGGTCGGAGTGAGTACAATAGAAATTCAGAAAGGAGGCAAATTATGGGATTGAGACTCATTTTAATAAAGAAGATTACAGGAGGAAGTAATGGGAAAGATAAGGATTTTTAAAAATGACATTTTTAGTAAAATGTTGAATGTGCTGATGAACTGTCAACATGTTTTATGGCCATTTGAAATTTGAATAGACATTTGGCACCAAGAAGAACAATGAAGGCCATCACCGGAAAATCCCAGTTTGGTTTTAGAAAAGGAGTTATTGGGATGCCTGGGTGGCTCAGTCAGATAAGCATCCAACTCTTGATTTCTGCTCAGGTCATGAGCTCATGGTTCAGGAGTTTAAGCCTCTGTTCAGGCTCTATGCTGACAGTGTGGAACCTGCTTGGGATTCTGTGCCCCCCCCCCCCCCCCCCAACCCCCCCAACTTGTGTGCTTGCTCGCTCGCTCGCTCTCTCTCTCAAAAATAAACTTAAAAAAAAAAAAAAAGCAGTTAATTTATGGGCAGGCCACAGAAGTGTCACCCAGAGGAGTTGAGAACAAAACACAATTTCATATAGTTATTCTATAGAATTTAGACAATCTGTATTTAATTGTTCTATGATAGATATGATTTACTTCCTCCCTGAATCTCTCACCCTAAGAGCAGACACTTGGCTGAAGCACTTTTGAAAAGTACATTAGTTCGCTATTCAAGTGTCCTTGACAAAGGTATGTAGTAGTCTAGCAAACACACAGGCACCCAGTCATTAGGTACAGAAGAGTAGAGAGAATATTCTCAACTCATATAGTTTGGTAAATACTTTGACCACTCAGCCTCTCAGTGATCCTAGGAGCTGGGTCAACCAATATGTATCACTAGAGGCTGGTCCTGAATAAGCAAGATCGAGCTTGGGTCAGGGCAGAGACTGATGACAACCAACAGATTTACATGGACAGGCTGGTAGATTCAGTGGAAATTCATGCTTTGAAGGTACTTTGAGAATATCTTCCATCAGATTAATATTCTGAGATATGTTCTGGCTTTCAGATCTTGTGGGTTGTGGAGCATACACATCTTTAATATTTGTAAAACCCAGTTCGTATTGAAATGATGACCAAAGAGAATTTGATTAATTTTCATGAATCTATTAATTTGCTCTACACTGTGTTTACCCATTTCTGGAGTGAGATTTTTAAAAGGTACTTGCGATCACATAATTACTTTGCATAAAACCCTTCAATGGGTTTTCATTGCTTTTAGGACTAAGTTTAAAATTTCTAATTTGACTTAAAGGTCCCTCCCTGCATGGTCAGTTGGCCCTTTCTCCTCCACCTTGCAGGTAAATAGTACCCTCGGATCCAGGATAAAGGTCATTTAAAAGCCTTCCTTGACCCCTGGACTAGTTAGGTTCCCTTGTCAACTTCCCTGTCACGATTCCAGCTGCTTTTCCCTGGTGGCACATGCCATACTTACTATAGATGTGTGTGATGTGTGTACTTTTGTTTGTCTTCCTCTGTAAGGGCAGGACTGTGCCTGTCTTATCTCCACATCCCCAGCCCCCAGCCCCCAGCTCAGTTCCAGACAGCAGTGGCACTAGGGTATTTGAAAAAATAAATTATGAAACACAGTTGACAATCATTGGCTAATGTGATAAAACTGCTGTAATATAAAGAGAAGGAAAAGCTCTTCCTTTTCCCTCAACCATCGGCTCTACCTGTGTTACTAACACTTAGCAGATGCATTTATTTTTATGCAAAGGCCAACTTTAGATGCATTAGGGGTAGAAACAGGACCAAGATTGGGCCCCTGCCCTCTGATACTTCACAGCCTAATAGCATAAGATACATACACCCTGAGGAGAGCAGTCTAGAGGGCTTCACAGATAATTCCTTCTGGAAATCCCAGCTAACTGATGCAGTTAGGAAGGGTGAAAGGGGTCATAGGTCTGCAGGTCTTCCTGCAGTGTTGTATCACGGATTGTGAAATATTCTGAAAGGAACAGCGTAAACCAATACAAATTTGCGAGGCTGCTTAGGTAAGAAATAATTCGAACATGAAAAGTACTGCAGCAGTTGTGAGCCCTTATATTCTTATGGCATCTAAGAGCAAAATCATGGGAGAATACAGATCAGTTTTCCTATATGAGTAGTCTAATGCCTTGTGGAGAAAAAAGTACTAAATCAGCATTGTCAAAAAGAAATAAGATGCAAGCCACATGTGCAATTCTGAATTTTCTAGTAGCCACGTTAAATAACCCAACATACCCAAAATTTAACAAATATTTAAACTATTGACAAATTTTATATTTTTTTGTTCTTGTGCTAAGTTTTGAAATTCGGTGTATATTTCATATGTACAACACATCTCAGTTTGGACTAGTTACATTTCAAATGATCAATAGCCTCATGTGGCCAGTGGTTCCCATAATGGACAGCTCTAGATAATTTACCATTCAAGCTATTTATTCTGTTTTGATGTATGTTTGATATTTAGCTCCTTGGCTTACGTACATTGGTGGTTATGTTTTCAATAAGAGAAATGGACTCTGGATTTTAGGCCATGATATCTTTAATTTTTTTTAACCTTCTGCAAATGTGTTACATGGCACTATACTGGAGATCTTCCCCTGAAATAGAATGAGAGACACGGCCAGATGTGGCTGTGTTTCCTTCCCAGCCTTAGCTTAGTGATAGTGACAGAGACTTTTTCAGTTTGCACTAAGAAGTTGTTCTGACCCTGAGAAGTTGCATAATCCTATGCAAACTTCCAAGATTCATAGATAAAAAGCAGTTTGAACATGAAGAACACTGTGCACAGTCAAGG